ATATATTTGACAAGATATAAAATAAAACGTGTTAGCTTAATACTTGGAGATATTGGGACCCTTGTGAATTGCTGGTGGGGATGTGAAATGGTATAGCTGCTGTGGAAAAGTTTGGCAGTTCCTCAAAAATCTAGACAATTACTGCATGATCCAGTTCCAAAGTTCTAAAAACTGAGACTTAGGTTCTTATACCCCGGCATTCATAGCAGCATTATCTACAACAGCTGAAGCAACCAGTAGGTAGAAACAACCCATGTCCATACACAGATGAATGGGTAAATAAAATGTGATAGGTACATACGATAGAATATCACTCAAACATAACAAGGAATTTCTGTTACATGCTACAACATGGATAAATCTTGAAAACATGCTCAGTAAAATAAGCTAGTAGCACAAGTACAAATGTTATATGAGTCTGTCTGTACAAGGTACCTAAAACAGGCAAGTTCATAGAGATAGAATAGAAATTTTGGAGTAAGGTGGATAGGGGAGTTATTGCTGAATAGTACAGTTTCTGTTTGGGTGATAAAAAATTGCAGAGATTGTGGCAAAGGTAGGGAACATGTGGAGAGAAAACATTTTCTCAGGCTTTCACAGAGAGCACATTGGCCAAGCAATGGCCGTGACTCATCCACATGACTGACACTGACAAAAGATCTAATCTGAGGTACAGGATCTCAGGATAAATCCTGAGGGGATTTCACTGACCTTATCAGACCCAAAAGCTACAACTCTTGTTGCATATGTCCTGCTTTACCTTGGTCTTAACCATCCACCAGAAAAGTACAAAAACGGAGTATAAGAAGTAAAGCCATGCTGTTATGTTGAGCTGTAGGGGACTCAGGTCAACAATTTCTGACATTACCAGTCAAGCAGAAGACCCAATACTATTATGGGCTACTGGACTCTTAGAATATTTTGCTGAGTTAACACACCTGTAATATTCAAATGATGGAACTAAACAAAAAAGAGGCTACAGATGAATGTCCATTTTGTATCTTTGTATTCAAAGTGGTTAGGATAGATATATAGTTACATTCTCTTAATGAATAGAGGGATTTGTTCTTTTTTTTTGAGGGATTTGTTCTAATGGTATTTGTAAATAGGATATCAAGTCTGCTTCTTGTATAGCAATTAACCACTAGGAAGAGAGTATGCAATGTGTTAATTATTGAAACTGTCCTACCAATTTGATTTGAAACTGTCTCATTGCTATATGTCTCTCAAAATTATGGAGAAAAAAAAAGGTAGGGAACATATGAGTATACTTAATGCCACTGGATTATATACTTTAAAAAAGTACCTGGAGGCCAGGGAAATAGCTCAGTAGAATAAGCGCTTGCCTGGTAAGCACAAGGGCCTGAGTTCAATCCCTGGTTCTGCCAAAACAAAAATAAAAATAAAAAGGTACTTGTAATCCCAGCACTCTAGGAGGCAGAGGCAGAATGGTCACAAGTTCAATCATAGCCTAGGCAGCTTTAAAGACTTAGCAAGATCTCACCTCAAAATAAAAATAATAATAAAGGGTTAGGGATGTAGCATAGTGCATAGGCCCTGGGTTCAATCCCCAGTACCGCCCCCAACAAAAGTGAAAATGGCTAATTTTATATGTAGTCTACCACAGTAAAAGTGATTTGGAGCCAGGGTGGTGGTGTGCTGTTGTAATCCTAGCACTTAGGAAGTTGAGGCGGGTGGATCATGAGTTTGAAGTCAGCCTGGGCATTATAGCAATTTTATTTTTTGCAGTACCAGAGATTGGATTCAGGATCTTGCACTTGCCAGGCAGGTGCTTATGCTGCTGAGCTATATATCCCTGGCCCTAATACAGCAATTTTAGGATTCTTTTTTTCATGTATTTTAGGGAAGGGTCTACAGGGTATTCAGGGTCTCACTAACTAGATCAGACTCATAGTGAACCTCTTGTTTACAGCCTTCCAAGTGCTGGGATTACAGGCTTCTCAACTGCCATCTCAGCATCCCCAGGGGTGGGGCCAAAATGGCAGGCCCAGGGATCGAACCCCTGGACCCTGCTCCTGCTTGCAGGTGCTTTAATCCTCTGAGCTATTTGGCCGGCCCTACAGCAATCTTAAAGCCAGCCTAGAGTACATAGTGAGACCCTACGAGAGAGAGAGAGAGAGAGAGAGAGAGAGAGAGAGAGAGAGAGAGAGAGAGAGAAGGAGAATATGTATACAAATATAAAAAATTTATTTTTTTAATGGTCTTTCCAGCCAGGTATGGTGGTACTCATTTGTGAGCTGAGACAAGAGGGTTGCCACAAATTCAAGGCCATCCTGGACTGCGTAGTGAGTTCAAGGCCAACCTGAGCTACATAGTGAGACCCTGTCTCAACAAAACAAGGCAAAAATAAATGAAATAAGATGGCCTAGCCAGTGTAGTTTTAATTTTCCCCTTTCATTATGTGTGTTTCTTTTCATACACAAAGCATTTGTAGCTTAGTACATAGACTGCCCCCTATGCTTTGTGTGACTTTTGTTACTTTTATGATTTCCTTCCTTCCTTCCTTCCTTCCTTCCTTCCTTCCTTCCTTCCTTCCTTCCTTCCTTCCTTGCAAGACAGGCTCTCTCACTATGCAGTTCAAGCTGCCCTTGAACCCACTATGCAGTCCAAGCAGGCTTGGCCTCACCACAATCCTGTCTGCAGGCGTGCACCACACCAGACTATTATTTAATTTCTTCCATATAAATCCTTGATCTATTTCAAGTGTATCTTGGAATATATAGGAAATAGAGCCTGAAGATATTGCACGTTTAGGTATTTAACTTTTTGATATAATGATAGTATGTTTGTATTTTCTAGACCGCATTTATCTGAGAACAGGCAAATTATTTCTACATATTGAATCTGCACCCAGCACTGATTACTTTGTCACACAGGATGGTCTCCCTAGTTAGTGAGACCCTGAGCATGACTACGATGACTCATCTGAGGAGCAGAGTGCAGAGGCAAGGGGACAGACAAGCCTGGGCCCTTGCACATACCAGGCAGGCGCCCTACCGCTGAGCTCTACCTACAGCTCCAGATTTGTCACTCAGTCATTTGTCAGTTGATTCTGTCAGGCTTTACAGGCTTACCCTCATAGCAGCTATGAGTAGTAGTAGGGTTACCTTTTCCTTTCCAGCTTTTAAGCTCCTTTCTTGCCTTCCTTATTTAATTGGTTTAGCTAGTATCTTTAGTTAAATGTTGTTGATAATGGATATGCTCTGATGTTCCTGACCAGACTTGGAATCCTATCACATTTCCTATGAAATCAGATTTTTCTTTTTTTTATTTTTGAAATCAGATTTTTCTTGCTTGCCCATGCTTTCTTTGTTTAAATGAATATCTATTGGTTGTTTTACAGTATTGTTTTAGCCATTATTTTTTCCAAAAAATAATTGTCAAAAGGCCAGCAATATAGCTCAGCGGATTAAGCGCCTGCTTAAGCAAGCGCAGGGACTGGGGTTTGATCCCCAGTACCACATGCCATGCTGACCCGCCCCTGGGCACACTGAGCCAACCACAGAGACTGGGTGTGGTAGCACACACCTGTATTCCCAGTGCTGAGGAGGCTGAAAACAGAAGGATCACTATGAGTCCGAGTTGCGTAGTGAGAAACTGTACCAAATTCATTAAAAATGAAAGAAAATGCTTATTTTGGGTTTTGGGATTCAAAGACTAACAGGGGTGGGGGGAAGCCTGGGTAAAGAGGAACAAACCAGTCATTGTACGTAGGAAGGAAGCCAGAGAGGTGGGGAGAGTCATGGAGCAAGGTATGTTGGCTTTCAGAGACCTGCGGCCACCAGCCCATGCCAGGGTGTAAGATTTTTAGAATCCTTGTCTAGGGAGTGGGAATGGGGACAGGGCTGGGGTCACCCTGGCTTTGTGCACTTTTCAGGAAGGACAGCCTTCTGATCCCTGTCCTTCTTCCCCTAGAGGTGGTCGTGGTGACAGGACTGGCCGCTATGGAGCCACCGATCGCTCACAGGATGATGGTGGGGAGACCCGAAGCCGAGACCATGACTACCGGGACATGGACTACCGCTCCTACCCCCGCGAGTACGGCAGCCAGGAGGGCAAGCATGACTACGATGACTCGTCTGAGGAGCAGAGTGCAGAGGTGAGGGGACAGCCAGGCCTGGGGCCAGCACTCTGCTCCTGTGCCCTTGGACTGTGCTCAGTGGCTTTGCCATGCCTGCAGGATCTATCCCACTCCCTTCTTTCAGGGCTCCACTCCCAGGTTGGGTCTCCCTGGCTTCCACATGCTTGCCTCTGTACTTCTGAGGGCCCCTGGCCACCACCTCTCTCCCTTCTTCTCTGTTGTTCGGTTTGGGTCTGTGGATCACCGTAAGCCCTTGCTGCTTGTTCCCGGCCAATTAGGGCACTTAGAGTTTCTTCCGTGGGACCCGGCGTCTAGGGTTGGGAGGGCAGTAGGGGGATAGGCTCTCTTCAAGCTGAGCAGCTCTGAGGCCAGCCATCGGCACTCCTGGCACTGACAGAGCCTCTAAGCAGAAAGTTCCCTACAGAGCCATTTCTATGTGAGGTAGGTAACCCTACTGTGGGAGGCGAAGCACGACCCTTAGCATTAGGGAGTCCCCATCTTAAGGAAAGAAACAGACATGCCTCAAGGTAACTCTGGATCAAGCAAGCAGTACAGCTCTCCTGTCCAGTAGGGTGCAAAGGGTACTCTTGTAAGCCCATTCCTGGGGTCGAGGTCATGGTATGAGCCATCTTCTCCCTTGGGAAGGCCCAGCACAGAAATCCACATGGTGGGCTGCCAGCTTTGGTCAGGGGACAGTGGCTACAGGCAGCCAGGCTTCCCCAGTGGCCACTGTGGAGCTGTGCTGGATGCCTGCCAGGTGTGGGAATGGAATGCCTTGTTACCTGGCTCTGGCCCTCTGCAGATGGGAGAGTGTGAGCTTAGTCCTAGCATGGGTTACTTGAGTGATAACCAAGAAAGCGGCAATCATACCCTGTTTGCTATTGTTTTTTGTTTTCGATTTCTTGTGGTGCTGGGGATGCAACTCAGGGGGGGACTCATACACACCAGGTGAGTGCTCTACCATTGAGCTACGCCTTAGTCCCCACATCCTGTTTTGAAAGAGACTGGTAGTGACAAAGCCCTGGCCTGGGCTGAGGGACATAGACAAAGGGGGAGTGTTCATGCCCCTCATACCTTTGCCTTTACCTGCTGGCTGTTTCAGATCTGAAGCTGTTTCTGTGCCCCCAGCTCAGTTGCTGGGCCCGGGCCCAGGCTGGGAACCATAGGGAACAGTGGCCTTCAGTGGCCTGGGGAACAGTTGTGTACATTCTAGCTGGGCTGGTGAGGGAGGAGGAGGGAGAAATGAAGGGCAGTCTATTGTGCCAATTCCAGGCCAGCTCATCCTGGGGAGGTTTAAGCTGTTTTGTTACCTGCCTTTGGGATTTCCTCCCCACACTAATACTGCTGTGTCCTGAAGGCAACTGTCCCTCCAAAAGTATCCTGTGCAGCATTTGCAGCCCTGGAAGGGTTGTGGTTCAAGGCCTGCCCACCCTGCCTGCCTGAACCTTTAGTCGGAGCCCGAGCACCCCTGGCTTTCAGAGCCTGCCTGCCTCAGAGAGCCAGCGGCCAGCCCTTAGGCCCGCCCAGACTGACTGGCCGTCTGGTGTCTCTCATCTCATTCTGTCGGCCAGGATTCCTACGAGGCCTCCCCGGGCTCCGAGACTCAGCGTAGGCGGCGGCGGCGGCACAGGCACAGCCCCACTGGCCCGCCAGGCTTCCCCCGAGACGGCGACTATCGGGACCAGGACTATCGGACCGAGCAAGGGGAGGAGGAGGAGGAGGAGGATGAGGAGGAGGAGGAGGAGAAGGCCAGTAACATCGTCATGCTGAGGATGCTGCCACAGGCAGCCACTGAGGATGATGTACGTGCCCCCCATGGCCCTGGGCAGGTGGCAGAGCAGGAAGCCAGGCGGGGTCTCCTCCAGTGCCCTCAAGTTCTTCCCTCCCTTCCCTCCCCTCCACCTCAGCACCTTTCCTCCCTTCTCCCCCACCTGGCTCCTGTCCCCTGGCTCCTGTCCCCCGGCACTGTCCATCCTCTGTGGGCAGGCCCCTGGCAGCTCCTGATCTGGACGGGAGGGGTGTCAGATAGGCCAGCTCAGCCCAGGGGTAGTAGCCTTGGGTTTCTGGTGCTGGTGGGCGTGGGAGGGTGAAGAGCATCCTTCCTGTACATCCTGTTTCCATCCTTTCTGCATGTGTGGGCTGAGGGCCAGACCCTTACCAGGCCTGGTGCTGGTTATTACTGCTGGCAGAGATGACGCCGGGGCCCTGCAGCCTGTGGGAGTGGAGATGGGGATTTCCTGAAGTTCCATTCTCATTTGCCCCCTTCCTCTTTTGTCGGCAGCATCAGCTCTCATCACTAGCTTAGCCACAGTGCCTTGGCTGGCTGCTGGCAACGTCTACACCCTGTGCCTGTGTGACATTCTGTCCTTCCCATCTTTCTCCCGCCTTCTGTTTCCTTCTCATTCAGACTTCTCGTAATGAGCCACATGAAAACCCCAAGAAGGACACTAGACTAGCTTTCTGGATAGCTTGTCTGTTCTTCATCCTCTCAGCGCCATCTACCCCTGGCAGTTTTCTAAGCAGTGCTCCTCTGAAGTCGGCCAGTCTCCTATTTTATGGCAATAGAAATCCTAGGTGGGTGTATGAAGATTTCCAAAGTGTGGTCCACCTGCCACATTGAGGGCCATGCAGTCACTGACTGCTGACATTCCCTGAGGACTTATGGCAGGGTGGGCCATGTGTTAGGTCTGAGCAAATCCTCACACTTGCCCAAGCAGGCAGGTGCTCCTTGTAGTCCATCCTGCCAAGCATCAGCAAGCAGCAAGCTCACTGACTTGCCCTAGGTCCCACGGCCAGTGCATAGCAGAGCAGAGTTGGGATCCAAACCTGGGCCACTAAGCCCAGAACCTACATGCTAACTGCTTCCTGAGCACTCCCTGAATGTGCAGTTCTGGAGGCTCTCCTCTGCATCTGTATGTAAGGCTGATTTTGTGTTTTCTATTGCAATAAGGAAACTGAGGTTCAAAGGCAGGAAGGCCCCTTCCTGAGAGTGCTTGGTGCAGGCTGCTGTCCTCCATTTGAGGTGCTGCCTGCTCCTCAGTTATCCCTACCTCTGGCTCCTTCACCCAGGAAGCTCTCCAAACCAGGAGCATGCACCTCTTTCTCTCCTTCCTAAGTTCCTGCAATTCACAGTCTAGGCACCTGGCTGGGATCTGCTCAGGCTCCTGTCCTCCCACTTTGCTTTTATGTTCTGAGTGTCTTCTGATGCAAGCTGGGGAAGGGGACAATCCCCTCACAAACGGCAAGAGTCACATCCCAGCTTTCCTCATTGCGTGGCTGCCACTGAGCACCTTGTCAGATCACTCTGCCCACCACGCAAGTTGCTGGCTCACTTGCTCTTCTGTTGTCTCTGTGCCCCCTGGAGATCATCTTGCCGCCATTCTTTCTCCTGCACTATGCCCGTCTTCATTTGACTTTCTGCACATCCAAGGCTGGAAGCCAGGGCTGGGTTCTGGTGTGGTTCTGGGGCTCTTGTCACTTTGGGAAAATCATCAAAAGAGGCGGAGACCGTGTGCCTGTTGCTCATGAGCCCCCAGGGTTCAGAAACCTCCAGCCAGCCTTGCATACCCAGTCACCTCTTGTGCTGAGCCTGTCCTATTCTGTATCTCCCCGTGCAGATCCGTGGCCAGCTGCAGTCCCACGGTGTCCAAGCTCGGGAGGTCCGGCTGATGCGGAACAAATCCTCAGGTGAGCTTTCGTTCCCAGTGCCCCTCCCTTCTGCTGGCCAGCCTCAGCCTTCGAATCTCCCTCCTGCTTCTGCCTCTCCCTCCCCCATCCCTCCAGCCTTCCTGCCACAGCTGGGAATGGAAAGCTTGGGGGGTTGCCCTCTCTTCTCAGCCCCCCCAACTCCTCACTCCAGCCAGCAGCCTCTACAGGGGTTTGTTGGGGAGGGGTACAGCTATGGGATGAGCTGAGTGCATCCCAGGGGCAGGGCCAGGGCCAGGCTCCATGGAACCTCCTCTTTGGGACTCTAAATATCAAATACTGGCCCTGCCCAGGACACTCCCTTCCTTTTCCTTTCTTCTCCTTCTACTGCCCCTTGCTCTCTTCCACATTTTCCTGGCAACAGCCTCTCACCAGAAAGGAGGTCTGACATGGACCCACCCTCGTGTCCCAAGAGAGGAGGCAGGGGATGGCTGTCATCCAAGGGTGCTTCCCAAGGAGCAGCCAGGGCTTTCTGGCTTTACCCATTCCCTTCCTCCCTCTTTCAGGCTGCTCAGAGCTGGCCTGAGTTTAGTGGGGTGGTGGGAGGAGTTGTCTCTGCAGGACCTCTGCTCAGGCTCCCCAAGGCAGGCACGGTGGGGCCTCACTTTGCCTGGGCTTCTCTTGCCATCTCTCAGTCTCTCTCCTCCCCACACCTCTACCCTGTCTTCTTCCTCCCTCACTGCCCCCTCCTGTCCCCCTTCTGCCCCTTTCCTTCCTCCCTCCCTTATTCTCTCTCTCCCCCACAGTCTCTCTCTCCATCTGTCCTTCTCTCTCTGATTTTACCTTTCCATCCTCACATGCACCCTAATGCTGACTCTTTCGGAGATCAAACATGCTCTCAAACCCTGTCACATTCAGGATCTCCTGTGTTCCCACCTCTGAAGGAGATGCTTTCCTGAGATCTCAAGCCCCAGCCCCTTCTGTCAGCCATGGCCAGGCCTGGAGTCTCTCTTGGTGGCATGTAGGTCTTGCTCTGCCTTACACAAGCCAGTCCACACACCAGTTTTGGGGCTTTCCCCCAAGGAGGCATCCCAGTGCAGCCTCACCACAGCCCTGGACACTTCTCCCAGGCACCCACTGATCCTCAGCTATAAGATCCTCCTGGCCAATCCTGGCCACCGTTTGCCTTCTGTCTAGAAGGGTCTGGACTGTTGGTGGCCATAAACCCCTACCATGGTCCCAAGGTGGCTCCCTAGTGAGGTTCCCCTTCCTGAGCACCATGGTAAGACTGAAATGAGATTGTATCCCTAACTGACCAATTTCCCATGGCCTGGGAGCCCTCTTGGCATCACAGGACAGCCTAGCCTAGCTCTTCTTTTGTTCCTTCAATGAAACTCATGCTCCAGGACCCTTCCCGGGTGTCCCTGGCCTTATGCTAGGCCTGCCCTTGGGTGATTTGCTCTAGCCTATGTGGAGCCAGCAGCCTGCCTTAATCCTTTGGAGACAGATCGCTCCTGTCCTTTCCCTCCCCGCTGCTTCTCTACATCTCTGTCACCCCAGGCCGGCCAGGAAGGTCTGCCTGAACCCCATCTCTCCCTTACTCTGCCCGTTTGGGGTGTGTCTCTCCCCTACTCTGATCTCTCTCCTGTTCTGTTTTTCTCCCTCCCCCTTCCCTTTTGGCCATTACCTTGCCTTCTGTATCCCTATTCTTTCTCTGATTGCTTCTTTCTCTTCCTTTCTCCTCTTCCCTCTTCCCTCTCTACCCCAGTCCTCTCCCCTCGGGTCCCACCCCCGGGAACGCCGTGTGTCCAAAGCTGTTGACTAACCCACTGCGTCTGTATCTGAATGCTGTCTCCAGGTCAGAGCCGGGGCTTCGCCTTCGTCGAGTTTAGTCACTTGCAGGACGCTACACGATGGATGGAAGCCAATCAGGTTGCTTTGCCGCACTTGAACCCCCCCCCAAACAAATACTACTTTGTAATCGAGCGCTCCCCATCGCCTGATTCTTATGGACACAGTTCCCTGCCCTGTGGCCCTGTGTCCCATCCCCTAGCCCCTCTCTCTGACCCTGACCCTCACTATCTCCTCTTCCCATCTCTCGCTACCCCACTGGGCTTCCCATCCAGATCCCACACTCACCTCCAGCCCCTTCCCACCAACTGGCACTAGCGCTCACCACCTCTCCCGGCTGAGCTCTCTGAGAAGGAGTTGCCAGGGTGGGCTCGCTCCCCTAGCTCCCTGTGTCCCCATGTGTGCACGGGGTGGGTCCCAGGGGACCACCCTGCTCTAAAGCCAGCCCAGGCCGGCATTTCGTCGCATTCTCAGGACTATGGGAAGTCCCGCCTGTGGGGAAATGTATCTGTTGGCACATTTAACTAGGGAGACCCATTTTGTCAGCCCTTTCCCTGCATGTGGATTTGGCCCTTTGAGTTCCATGCAAAAGGACAGCTCTACTGTGTTGGTCGAAAGTTCGAGTCAAGTGTGATAGTTTTATTGACACCCTGGAGTCGCTCTGTCCAGCCTCCCTTCCCCTCTCCCCACAGGAGGCACCACCACACCTTCTTAGTAGGGGGCCCTGTAGTCAGCCACAAGGGAGCCTGCTCCCTAGCCTCGCATGGCATTCCCACCCCGCAGCATGGGGTGTTCCGAGACCCGAGGATCTGCCTGGACCCTTCAGCTCCAGCTCATGTCCCTGGTGTAGAGCACTGGAGAAACTGGGGAGGAAGGGGCGGCTGTGGTGAAGTGGAGGGTCCTGGCAGAAGTCACCCTGGGCCGGCTGTGCAGGTGGATAAGCTAGCGCGGTGGGCCCCGGACCCAACCAGCCTTGGAAGGTGGCCTCATGGCAGGAAATGCCGTCTGTTAAATGTGGCTCTTTCTTTCTCCCCTTCTCCAGCACTAGTGTGCGTGCGTTCTCTCTTTCTTTCTCTCCCCTCCCCCTCCCCCATCCCCAAGTGTAGCCTGTGTAGTGCTGGCCCTGGGTGTGGCCTGGCAGTGTCAGGGCCGAGTGGGGGTTTTCGCCACTGTCCGGCAGGTGTCGGTCAGCCGAGCACTGTGTGCCTGGTGGTGTGTGTTCACGTGTGTGTGTGTGCCCGGAAAAGCAGCGAGCAGCTGCGCCCAAGAGCTGTGGCGCTTTCCCTCCTCCCTTCCTTCTTCCCTCCGTCCGTTTTCCGACCTCCCTCCGTTCCCTGTCCCTCATCCATCCAGCTGAAGGGCTCGCTCACTCTCTTCTCCTTTGCTGAAACGGTGCGTGGGGCACCGTTGCCTGGGCCTCACTGTGCTCTGCTTTTTCCCACAGCACTCCCTCAACATCCTGGGCCAGAAGGTGTCTATGCACTACAGTGACCCCAAGCCCAAGATCAATGAGGACTGGCTGTGTAACAAGGTACCAGGGTGTTGGGAGGCAGGTGCCACGGAGGGAGATAGCACCCACGGCCTGGAAGGAGGCATGGTGCTGAGGACTGGCTCTCCTGCTCTCACCAGCCAGGCTTTTAAGTGACTAATCAGTGACAGTGTAGGCCTAGTGCATACATTGTTCAGAATGCATGCTTCGGAGCAAAGCTGGCTGTAGTCAAGACTGTCACAGGTCTGCTGTGTGGTAGCCAAGGGGCTTATCCTCTCCGCTTCAGTTTCCCCCACTTCAAACCTGCAAGGACTAAGAAGGTTGTTGGGAGGATGATACTGTCAATAGCAGGATAGCACAGGCCCACAGCCCAGTGTTTGCTGTTATTGTTGAAGAAAAGCAGAGTTTTGGGGCCAGGGAGGTAGCTCAGTAGAATAAATGCTTGCCTGGTAAGCACAAGGGCATGAGTTCAATCCCTGGTTCCGCAAAAAAAAAAAAAGAAAGAAAAGAAAAGCAGAGTGTTCTGAGGGACCTCAGGGTGTTCTGTGGTGACTGAACCTTAAAGGCCACCCTCACACAGCCACATCACACCTGAGCCTGGAGGTGTACGTACAACGTGCAGGTTTTGTGCTTACCTCCACATTCCCCAAGAGAAAGATGAGGCCTAGAGAGTTGGGACTGTGAGACCTGCTCCTGCTCACAGGGACCACAGGTGCCCTCACGTGTGAGCCCTGATGGCCTCAGGTCTGCTTTAGGGTTTAATTGCACAGTCCCCATCCCCATGCCGTCTGTCAGTCCTAAGATCTCATAGAAAGACTGAGAGGGGCCAGGGAGATGGCTCAGTGGAATAAGCGCTTCCCTGGCAAACACAAGGGCCTGAGTTCAATCCTCCGTTCCGTGAAAAAAAGACTGAGAGCTAGTGGGGGCACCAGTCCTGTCCCAAAGAAGTACTTGCTTGGGGGAGTTGCATCTGTCATCGAAACAAAAGAAAAGTCTCATCAGAGGGCTAGTGCTTCTCCAGGGAAGTAGGAACAAAGTGAGAGCTATGCTTCTTCCCCCTATATTTTTAGGTGTTCCTCAAAGCCAGGGTTTTCTTTTCCTCCTTCCTCCCCTTTGTGACACACACTCCTGGTTACCAGGTTCCGTCTCTCCCATCGCAGAAATGCCACCTTCTCTCCCTTACTGTTCCTACCCTCAAGCTCTCCCTGTGTAGCTATGGAGCCCTGTCTAGCATGCTGGCCTCTTGCCTTTCTCCTGTAGCTGAGGAGGGGTTGTGGTGTGCAGAGTTCACATTTTCTTTCTCCAGCTCTGACTGTGCTCCTCTGCTTGAGACTCTCATGACTCTGAGTTTAAGCATGAGATCGTCTGTCATCTGGCATCATCTTTCCTTCCCAATCTCAGCTTTTGCCTCTCTGTTTGCCCCCTATACCAGCTATAGAAAATCCATTGTTCTCTGTGCTAGGAATCCCTTCCCAGCAAAACCAAACTTCTGGACCCACCACATCTTTTTTTTTTTTTTTTAAATATTTATTTATTTTTATTTATTACATTTATTTATTGTGTGTGTGTGTGGCCAGCTCAGCCCACCAGGGGGCGGGGCTGGCTGGCATGTGGTGCTGGGGATCGAACCGTGGTCCCTGTGCTTCGCCAAGCTTGATTCAAGTAGGTGCTTTAGACCACTGAGCCATCTCTCCAGCCCCTGGACCCACCACATCTTAACACCCTGTTTCTAGACAGCCCTCACTGACTGTGCCCAGCCCTGTGAGTGGCACCACTCTCAGCCTGCTTCCCTCCCTGAGCCTCTGTGGGGGTGTGGTCTGCAGAGGCCTGTTTTCTGGCTACATGGTTCAGGGCCTGACACAGCAGCAGTGCTTGGTACTGACCTCTGGAACAGGCATAGAAAGTGGTAAGGGAGGTATCTAAAGGCTGGAATTTGGGAGAAAACTTTCCCCAAAGTATCATGATTCTAACCCAATCCTAGACATTCAAGTGTGGATTATGGCAAGAGGTGGCTTCTAGGGAGGGAACACTAAAGATTTCTACTTGGAGAAGCAAGTCTTAGGACAGACAGCTTGCTAAAGGGCCAAGGGGGATAGGTCTTCTGGGAGTCAGTGGGCTGAGGGCCCAGCAGTTGTAAGCAGTGAGGGAAGTATCAATTCCTGTGCTAAGGGGGCTATGGACCAGTTTGAGGCCAAAAGGAAGATCCACAGGACCAGGAATAACAACCACTGTTCCAAAAACCACCACTATCTTGAGACTTCCCTTCCTGGGGCATTGTGGGGTTTCCTGGGGGAATTTCTGCATCTAGGCTTTGGAGGGTGCTGTGGAAAGCCGTGAGTCCTCTGACTGCCTGGCCTATGCCTCACAGTGTGGTGTCCAGAACTTCAAACGTCGAGAGAAGTGCTTCAAATGTGGTGTGCCCAAGTCAGGTGAGATCCACCTACCTTCCTCCACTCCCAAGGACATGGGGGTGGGGAGGAAGGTGGTGGGCTCAGGGCTTGGGGGTTGATAAGCCACGGAGTCTCCCATACCACCCCCTTGCCACTAAGCCTCTCTCCCCCATCCCTGACAGAGGCAGAGCAGAAGCTGCCCCTTGGTGCAAGGCTGGATCCACAGGCACTGCCACTGGGCGGGCGAGAGCTCAGCCAGGGCCTGCTCCCGCTGCCCCAGCCCTACCAGGCCCAGGGAGTTCTGGCATCTCAAGCGCTGTCACAAGGCTCGGAGCCGAGCTCAGAGAATGCCAATGACAGTGAGTCAGTCATTCCTTTTTCCTCTGTGCTCAGGTGCCTGGGCTGGGCCTGCCAAGGCCAGAGAGAAATGGTAGTGAGTCGAACTTGGTCCCTGTGAGTCTCCACTGTGGAGGGTGAGCATGTGATGCAGAGGCAGGATCAGCACCCCCACCCAGCTGGGGCTGTACTGGAGAGGTTCTCAGCAGAGAAGTGACAGCTGGCACATGGGCCGACGAGCAGTTTACCCAGGAGGAAGCAGCAGATGCAGACAGGAAAGCCAGAGGCCAGAGAGTAGTGGGGAACCGCAGTGGGGGCTGGAGCAGACTGGTGAGACTATTGGGTGGAATTCTTTATTGTCCTGAATGATATGATGTGTTATCTATTCCATATATATATATATATATATATATATATATATAGTACTATATATGTCATTTGCACATATATCCTATACATTCTTGAGTTAAAGGAATTTATAAGTAGTAGAAAGTAATTAGAAGAGACTAAAGAAGTGGAAGGAAGCTGAGGACAGTGACCCATGCTGGCCCCTTCCCGCAGCCATCATCTTGCGCAACCTGAACCCACACAGCACTATGGACTCGATCTTGGGGGCCCTGGCACCCTACGCGGTGCTGTCCTCCTCCAATGTGCGTGTCATCAAGGACAAGCAGACCCAACTGAACCGAGGCTTCGCCTTCATCCAACTCTCCACCATCGTGGTGAGGGCGGCACAGGGGGGGGCCGGGCAGCCAGGGTCCCGGCCCCCAGGGTGGGGAGGAGGGGTCCTTCCCCCTACGTACACCGCGGCCCCAAGCCTGGAAATGGGGCAATGGAGCCGGGGGCCTCCCCGGGCCTGACCCTTGTGCCCCTGCCACTCCTCCACCCATAGGAGGCCGCCCAACTGCTGCAGATCCTGCAAGCCTTGCACCCACCGCTCACCATTGACGGCAAGACCATCAACGTTGAGTTTGCAAAGGGTTCTAAGAGGTCAGGGCTACCCCTGTGTCCCCTCCTAGCTTGCCCCCAGCTCAAGGCCTCCCATTTCACTCCTAGTCTCTACATCCTCCCCAGGGATATGGCCTCCAACGAAGGCAGTCGCATCAACGCTGCCTCTGTGGCCAGTACTGCCATTGCTGCGGCTCAGTGGGCCATCTCACAGGTACTTAGCCCCTCCCCCCAGCACCCTGACGCCTGGCTTTCTCAACCATGCTATACCCTCTATGCAAAACAGCAGGGCTGGTTTGCTGTCCAAGGACACACAGCCTTGTAGCAGCTGGCATGGACCATTCGCCCTGTTCCTGGCTCTGTAGATCCCCTGATCTGTTCCCACTCTGTCTTCTGCAGCGCATTGACACTGCTGTCAGTGCAGGTGCTCTATTCTGTTGGGTGGAATTCTTTATTGTCCTGAATTGATATGATGTGTTATCTATTCCCCATGTATATATGCAGTGTTATATATGTCATATGTTCATGTATCCCATACATTCTTCAATTAAGAAGAATTTATAAGTTTGAGAAAATAATTGGGACAAGAGACTAACGAAGTGGGAGGAAGCTGGGCACAGTGACCCATGCCTATAATCCCAGCACTCTGGGAGGATGAGGCAAGAGGACCACAAGTTTGAGCCGAGTCTGTAGAACTTAGCAATACTTTGTCTCAAAATCAAAGACTGTAAAAGGCCTAGGTGTATAGCTCCATATGAAGGCCAGGGTTCAATCCTCAGTACCACCAAAACTAAAAGAAGAAAAAAATGTGAGAATGTGATAGTGTATGCCAGCCTGAGCCATTTAGTGAAACCTTGTCTCAAACTAAAATACAGAAAGAGCTGGGAACATAGCTCAAGGGCAGAACACCCCTGGATTCTATCCTCAGTACCACACACACACAAAAGGAATCGAGGATGGAATAGCCTCCTTGGTCTGATGCCCAACACATGTATACCACACATGTGTGCACACCACCAAAATCTGCCCTGGGAATATTTGGGCATGCATCCTATTTCCAGTCTTGATTCTGCCACTGCCCCTTCTCATGGCCAAGCAGCCCTCACATTAAGCCATGTCATATGGCTACATGTTTATCTGTCAGGCAGAATATTAGCTCCACATGTAGGGTAGATTCTTCTAGCAGGTTTCTCCTACCTCCTGTCCCTCCTGTTCTAATAAGACCCTCCACCTGCCTCTCAGGCCTCCCAGGGTGGGGAGGGTGCCTGGGCCACCCCCGAGGAGCCACCGGTCGACTACAGCTACTATCAACAGGATGAGGGCTATGGCGGCAGCCAGGGCACAGACTCCCTCTATGCCCATGGCTACCTCAAGGGCACCAAGGGCCCTGGCATTACTGGAACCAAAGGGGACCCAGCTGGAGCAGGTGAGCCCTAGCATCTCTCCCTGAGCCCACGGTGGGGCCTGCAGGCATAGGGTCCCATACCCCACCATTCATGGGCATCCTTCTCTCTCCCTGTCCCTCCCACCAGGTCCTGAGGCCTCTCTGGAGCCCGGGGCAGACTCTGTGTCACTACAGGCTTTTTCCCGTGCCCAGCCTGGTGCTGCCCCCGGCCTCTACCAACAATCAGCAGCTGAGGCAAGCAGCAGCCAGGGCACTGCTGCCAACAGCCAGGTGAGTGGGCTCCAGGGAAAATTCAGGAAAGCAGGGGCATCCTGTGTGGACAGTTGGCATTGACAGACACCAATCCCTGTTCTGTTTGCACCATGACTAGTCATACACCATCATGTCACCTGCTGTGCTCAAATCTGAGCTCCAGAGCCCCACCCATCCCAGCTCTGCCCTACCACCGGCCACCAGCCCCACTGCCCAGGAGTCCTACAACCAGTACCGTAAGTAGTCACAGCCTGTAGGTCTTGGGCAGGAATTTCTTAACAAGGTAGGATGATTGTGGCCCTCTCACCTCCGCCTCTCCCCCTGGCAGCTGTTCCTGACGTCTCCACCTACCAGTATGATGAGACATCCGGCTATTACTATGACCCCCAGACCGGCCTCTACTATGATCCCAACTCTCAGGTAATGGAGCAGCTCAGGGAGAGTTGGAATGGGGTTAGGCACCCACTGGCCCAGTGGTTCCTGTCCTCAAAGTCTTCCTTCATGTCCCATTTTTGCTCCCCTCTCCCAGTATTACTATAATGCTCAGAGCCAGCAGTACCTGTACTGGGATGGGGAGAGGAGGACCTATGTTCCTGCCCTGGAGCAGTCAGCTGATGGGCATAAAGAGACGGGGGCACCATCGAAGGAGGGCAAAGAAAAGAAGGAGAAGCACAAGACCAAGACAGCCCAACAGGTGAATTCTCAGTTACTGCCTGGCTGTTTTGTGTCTATTCATGTCTTCTCCCCACTGCCTAGGGAGCAGGGCTTGGGCAGTGACTGCTCTGGACAGTCCTCTTGAGGTAGAGAAGTGTGGCTAACAGCAGGGCTGCCCATCTCTGGGGGGTGGCTTTTGTCATGTGAATGAGCCCTATCAGCTTTCCTCTGTCCCCTGCTGCTGGTAGATGTCTGTGTATCCCAGAGGAATGTTCACAGGCCCACAAGGAGGTGGACAAGAAGGGAGCCATGCCAGAGTTCTGTGGTTAGTGGGCAAGTCAGAGAATCACTGTCTGAAAGAAGGGTCTGGCCATCAGGGCCTGACCATCAGCGTGTAGCTTTTGGAAGTAAGCCCTAAGCCAGTTGTGGTTTTGTACACCTGTCATGCCAGTACTTGGGAGGCTGAGGCAGGAAGATTTCCGGGTGTTCAAGGCCAGCCAGAACTATATAGTACCCTGTCTTTAAAAAAAAAAAAAAAGGAAATAAAGAAGCACTAAGCATTCCCTCAGTCTGGAGAATCTTAAAAATAGTGTGTGCTAGGGAAAACAACATGGGAAGTTGCATCAGGTCACACATGTAAATTAAGATGATACACAGGCTGCTCACAGTGGTGCACACTTGTAAGTAATCCCAGCACTTTGGAGTCTGAGGCAAGAGTGTTGCCATGAGTTCAAGGCCAGGCTGAGCTGCACAGTGAGCTCAGGGTCAGCCTGAACTATATAGCAAGTCCCTGCCTCAAAAACAATAAACAAACAAACTGATAGGCAGTGTTACGAGTTCTGAAAAAAAAAATGGGAACACGTCTTAAGGTGCCTGGCAGAAGTACAGGGCGTAGCTAGCGAGGAGCTTGGTAAAGAGCACTAGTGGCTGAGGACAGAGAAATAGAAACTTGCATAGCCTCTCACTTCATTTTGCCTCCAACCCTAGATGTCTGCCGCCTCTGGCAGCCCAGCCCTCTGCCTAGACTGTTTCTGCCATCTGTTGCTCACAAACCACTGGGACTCGGGGCATGGAGGGAGATGCAGGCAGCTTTTAAGAAGAGGCTGGTGGAAGCTAGGGGCCAAGTACCTTGCAGGCCCTGGTCACGAGTTTGACTTCTCTTTTGGTGTTAAAGGACACCAGGGAAAGATTTAGAGGAAGTTGGGTTTGGGAGTGGCTTATGGTCTGTCAGAGGCTGGGTGTAGCCTGCTATGGTGGTTTGGACCAGAGACATGACTTTAAGACTGTAGGGGGGCTGGTGAGATGGCTCAGTGGTCTAAAGCACCTACTTAGAACAAGCTTAGCAAAGCATAGGGACCGCAGTTCAATCCCCCAGCACCACATGCCA